GAACTTTATTAGCTGACAAACCACTTTGTAGGTCAATCACAAGTTGATTTAGTTCGTCAGTACGATCAGAGAACTGGCCCCAGACGACGTCAGGTGACTCGGCATGAGAAATATAAATCTTATACTCCAAACCAATCTCAAATGACAGGTAAGTATATTTGGATCCAGTGGGCGTGGCCTCAGACTCAGTTGGAGGTGTGGCCAGAGGCTCCTTCATCGGTTTTGACTTTGGAACCGAGAGCATCTTTTCGGGCGACTCTTCCGGGTGTGTCCCCATCGTCATGGAAACCATTTCCTCGGCAACGGTGTGGTCGCTGGACTCCTCCCAGTAAAGGGTGGTGAGGTAACATGGAACATCGTGCTCTGTGAGGAAGGAGGCATAATCCGGACACTCGCCCCAAAACATGGCAGGGACTTCCTGCATGTTAATATTATTAGATAAAGCAGCAACGACCTCTTCCGTCCAGACGCCATCTTTAGGAACAAAATTAGCCAACTGGCACTGAATGGCTTGATAAGGCATCTCAAAAAATTTAGAAATATGAGGAAAGAGGCGAGAAACAGGGACATTGGTTTCCGTATAACCATAATCAAGATAATATAGACTGTAAGTAGTAGGAGAATCCAAACTCATTACGAGACTCCGATACCATGTATTGTCTAGTAGCGACTGAGCAAAGCATTTGGTGCCCACTGAAGGCAAGAAGCTTCTATTCTTGTCCAAATTGTTCCGGACCACTTCGGCTATTTCTTGAGAGAGTCTGGGTAAGTCAAATGCTTCTGGTGTGTCCAAGTGAACGTAGAACAGACCTTCTTGCCCTACTGTCGTAACAAAGACTTTACACTTTGTATGATAAGAGATTAGCTGTGACATTTTTATAATCCTTTAATCCTTTGAATCCAAAATGCGTAAATTTATCTATATTAGTAGCATCCAAAGGGTTATTAAAAGAGAGAGAGAGAGAGAGAGAGAAAGAGAGAGAAAATAACGATAAAATAAAGTCAACATATTAATTAACAATGCAGGGTTCTGCCTAGAATAAAATTAGAGGTGGTTGGAGACTAATATTGTTCTTTTTAAGCTTATGTACACCATACTAGTAGACTACAATATCATGCTTTATGTATGGCTATTAGTATTAATTGCATGGCTGGTCTAAGTGATGAACTGATTGGTTCATTTGTTGAGGTGGTTGTCCCGACCACCCCCGACCACCATAGGCAGAACTATGTAATGGCACTAATAGTTATACAGAATTGCTATTCATTACTGACCTTTCTCAATTGTAAAAGGTACTCTTGCTTCACCTTGTACAACAGCCTCTCTACAATCTGATATCAACAATGAGGACAATCCAACAAGTCTTGTTAATGTGTGAATACTACAGAATTTAAAAAATGACGCAAAATCATTAAAATGTATTTTTAACTTTCTAATTAGGCACACCCAGGCACACGTCGTATGTGCTGGGCTACAATAACTTTAATTGAATTAATTACATGATTAATATTTTAATTGCATTACAGTCTGATTAGAATCAGCTATTCTCCTTATCAAAATACTACATCTTGTGTACAGAAATAACAGAATAGCTGACGCGTGTTGGGCAGGCTGGTGGTTCAGTTTTACAGCTGTTAAGCTTCGTTCATAACGGAATTGGCTCTCAAGGGGAGGAAGAGGCTTATAAAACATCAAATGAGGCTCAGAAAGAAGCACAATAGCAACTATAATAATAAAAAAAACAAACAACATAGACTACTTTATAAAGGTAGGGTATTAAAACTGAGGGGGTACGAGCTATTTAGGGAAAACATACCTTCCCCTGAAGGATTAGGTATTCAAATAAAAGCAGCAGAGGGTTCCTTGTCTCTCTCTCTTTTGCTTCACAACAACTTCGGACAAGACAGAGAGGACATCTTTCCACACATGCCGGCACACTGATGTACGCATGCGCAGACACAAACCCCGCGAAAACTAAGTAATTTTCAATTAAAATTCTTTTTATAAATTGCTGTGATATTTAATTAAAATTCATTCATTTTCTTTTTATAAATTGCTGTGATATGTTTGTCAGGTTTTATAGCTTTAGATTCCATCTCTGCCCATAGTTTCTCCAGAGACTCTTTGCTGGGAGCTTGTTCCAGCCTGCACAATAAATAACATTGGGTAATGACTCTGATAAACTATTTCCACTCTACCCGTACTTTTGAGCATAGCGATACAACGTAAGCTCGTTCAAACTAATAGTCTTGCAGCCATCTTTATCGCAAAGATCCAGAGCCTAAACAGTTAATGTACCATTATTATTAAATATTATGCTATTAATGTATACTTTGTTTCGTTGAAGGTTTTGCAAGAAATGACTGCCAGAGTGTTTCTCTATAGTTTCCAAGGGAACTTGGAAAGTTCTTAAGGGACAATCAGAAACAGGTTTGTTTGGTATTATAAAAGAACCTGTAGAATGAAAAGTTTGAGCTGATTCCGATCACAACTGGGTTTTTAATAAACTTTTAAAGTTGCTCTAGAAGTCCCTGTACTACAGTACAGGGACTCGGGCTAAATTTCACCAAAATTTAAAAGGAGAGGATTTGCCATTTTTATAACTTTTCCTAATATATATACATGTTCTTATGCTGTGTAGAAAGTTTGAGCTGATTCCAATCAAAACTAGATTTTTTATAAATTTTTAAAGTTACTCAAAAATTGGACCAAAGTCCCTGTACTATAGTACAGGGTCTTCGGCCAAATTTTGCCAAAAATGACTAGGAGAGAATTCTCCATTTTTATAACTTTTTCTGATACATATACATGTTCTTATGTTGTGTAGCAAGTTTGAGCTGATTTCGATAAAAATTGGATTTTTTACGAATTTTAAAAGTTACTCAAAAATTGGACCAAAGTCCCTGTA